GTGAGAACATGAGTCATTTGTGAAGAACATCTGGGGATATTTCATTTAATCAGGTTTTTTACCGCTCTTGTGGCTTTGGGTATTAGCACTGTCTCTGCTACTTCTGTTCTCTGACAGAGGCACATGCAGCAGCTGAATCTCCTAAGAGTCAACTGAGCCATATTATTGGCTCCCTCCAGGGGTAGCTGGGTGAAACTTAATAGTCCATGAGATACAACAAGTCAGTAGAAATGATCTAATGTCCCTTTCTAGTCTTAAACTCAGTGAAATGGTGAAAATTCTGCTTCTAAAGGAGATGGCAGATGAGCAGTTGCCAGGATCTCCTACCAGGCTTCCTCCCCAGCTGTGTCCCTGGAGAGCAGTTCCCTTTTTGCAGTCTTGTTTGCAGATTCTCAGCAGAATGCACAGTTTTCACTGCTGGAGACCAAATCCTCATTTCCATCCTTCTGTGCAGCCCATTTGCCCTTCCTCCCGCCTCAAATCCTATTTCAGCCCCTCTTTGTGGTGATGGTTTCTGAGAGAAACTTTTTGGGTTTTCTTCTTTCACCAAAACCTGAAAGAGATATCTGTTTTATCTGACATCTGCCCTTCACCCTCAACAATGTGGATCAGGTCGAACACCTGCTTGTAAAATACTTCTGACTCTCCCAATGCAGAAATCAATCTTGTTCATCTACTCACTCTGGTTAAGAGCTGCAGCCAAAAAAAAATTCTACCATGAATTTTTACAGACTCAAAACACCTCTTTTTCTTTCCTCTCCCACAGAGAAAATGTGCAATTTAAAGTTGTGAGTGTTGATGTATTTACTGATGTATTTTTCTCTTTCTCAGAAGCATCTGCAAAGGTGGCCAGAGCTGCTTCTTTCAGCTCCCAAATAAGTGTCCTCTCCTGTGTGTGCTTTCAGTAAAACCAGTGTTTCTCTCTGATGTTCATTCTTTACCTCGAATATTTCCATATGAAAAGAGAGCTTTGGAGAAACACTGCAAGGACTAGAAATCCTGGAGTCTGTGGGTTCCAAGTGAGTGAATCACAGACGCCTTTTTCCTCATCTGAATTCAAGGACACATCAGCTCCCTGATGGCTACCATTCCACAGAGAGGGGCAGCATCCCCTGCTTGTTCTAGCACATCAGTCACTTTTTGACTAATTTACAAACTATTTTGACTTTTGCTGCAAGTTAGAAAAGTTTTTAGAGCAGTCAGATGAGCTCTGGCCTCACTTGGCTGCCACAGGCACTCTGCAGAGAGCAGCTGGTTGTCACTGGATTGTCTCTTCAGCATAACCAGGTCACAATCTTGTTAATGCCTCTGCTTTTGCTTAATTTTCCTTGCTGAACAGTACTGGAGATCTCACTGGAGAAGGAGGGCTATGGGGTGTCTCTGGGGCCTGGTGCAGCACACACTGGGAGTGCCTCAGCCACAAATCTCAAACTGATCAATTAAACAAGACTGATCAGGAAGAATACAGCAGTAGGTTATCAATCATTATGGACTATATTTTCCAAGGGCTACTTTAGAGGGAAATTCTTCTGTAATAAATTACAAATTCAAACTGTGCCATCACTAAACCCTACACTCTTAACTATCCTAGCTATCCTCTCAGCAGCCCTGGGAGGATGAATGGGTCTCAACCAAACACAAATCTGAAAAATCCTGGCCTTTTCTTCCATCTCCCACCTAGGCTGAAAAGCAATCATTATCATTTAAACCTAAACTCACCCTCCTCAACTTCTACCTGTACGCTGTAATAACTGCAACCGTTTTCCTCACCCTAAACACAATCAAAGTCCTAAAGCTATTTACCCTAATAACTGCATGAACCAAAATTCCATCCATGAACACAATGCTGCTCCTAACCTATCTGTAATAAATTACAAATTCAGGTACAGCCCAGAACAGACATTGTCTGTCCTTTCCCACCCTGCAGCCCAGAGGCCACCAACAGCACGTGCAAACAGCCACAGACGTGTGCATTTGCACCCAAGCAAACCCTCCTCACTCGTGCTCACATCCTGGGATGGGCAAACATTTCTGCTGCTGGATTTCACCCAGATTTCTGACTGCAGGAAGGAGATTGAGGTGGAGCTGTCCAAATTGAGCTGCTGGAGCTGATCTCCAGGCTGACTGCAGCTCTCCTCTGCAGGAAAAGCTGGGCTTGGGCCAGCTGCTCACAGATAGCCAGCACAGGGCTTGGAAAGGGGGATGTTGTTACCAGCCAATTGACCAGAAGAGCTCAACTTCTTGGGCCTTGCATTCCAGCGCAATCCTCCTCCCTTTTATGTTTCTTAGTCTTTTTAGAAATCCATCAGTCAGAGGCTAGTGACTCCTCATCACTACAAAAACAAAGAGAGCTTAAAATATTTGCTTCTTCTACTTAAGGTTTACAATTCTTAGTAGTAGATTATTAGGAAGTTGCAGAGCAATCAAATGAACACAGAATAATTAACAAATTTGCTTCATAAAATGATTAAAGGAAATGTAAGGAGTTCCAGCAATCTCTTAGTGTATTAAATAACAAGCAAGTAATTTCTTTTTAGCTTTGCTGTGTAAATTCATTTGGAGCATCTGTAATTTAAAATAGCCCTGAGATTTACATAATTTTGCAGCCACTGCTTTTACATTTTGCCGTGTTCAGTCCTAGAAAGGTGGCTACAGCTCTCACACTTCTTCCAGATTAACTGACACAAGAGTTTCTTTGTTTTTCTTTGGGAGATAATTCTTGGTAAGCCTTTTTTTTTTCAAATTATCTGTCTTGTCCATGGCCTCTCTTATCCTGCAAGTACAAAGCAAGTGAGGGTTCTTTCCAAACTTACTAATGATAAAGTGTTCACTTTCCCAGTTGTCTTCGGTACAATCTGTTTCAAATGCTGGCACTGATGATGTCTCAGAACAGTGTAGGAGGGATGCCTGAGTGTGACTGAGCCACAAAGTTAAAGAAAAAATTAAATTTTAAAAGGATAGATTCCTTTTGAATAGAAAAGAAATCCAAGGAAGCCATGCCTTGGCTGAAGCAAAACAAAACAAAACAAGCCAGCTAAGCTTATTGTCTGGACTATTAATTGTACTGGATTGTTCAGCTGTCCTGAAAATGTCTCTTTAATCATTCAGTGAGGCTGAAGCTTGGGTCTCTGGAGATCACGTTCTGATCTCTCACATATGGTATCTCACACCCTTCATTAGACCCCCTGCTCCAGCCACATGGAAAAGATGCTCAGACTATTTCCATCTGTATCTGCTGCTTTTCCTCCTGGATGTGTCAGTCTCATGATGAGGGCAGTGACTCCAGCTGATGCAGACACAATTGCTGATTGCAAAGAGAGGCACTGCTGTGAACATAAAGAGAAGAGGGGGTTATTTCCGTCTCAGTTTGGGCTTTCTGAGGCGTCCCTGCCCTGCAGAACAGCAAATTCCCTTGTGGGAGGAAAATGCTGAGATCACAGGTGCTAATCAGTGAAAAGAGGATGAGCAACCCTGCGAACAAACTGCGGGACTGGGATGCCCAAAAACTGGGCTCAGATCCAAGACAAAGGAAAAAATTTCTTCAGTCTTATGAGGTTCCATTCTCAGCTCTCAGCACCACCACGAAGCCTGGCTGCTTTGTTTCAGGGGTGAGACGGGAGCAGGGACTTGCTTTGCACAGTGGGAAGCAGGATGTCTTGCTCTTCCCTCTGAATGTTTGGTGCTGGCAGTAGCAAAGTGAGGAACAAAACAATCTTTTCCAGGATGGCTCAAAGCCAGCCAGAATTGATTTTGGGTCCCTGCTGGTGGGACAGAGCTCACATGGAACCTTAAGGGTGCAAGAATTTTGTTTTTAGGAGGCTGCGTGCAGAAGGTTGGATACTGGCAGTTAGCAGCAGAAATCAGGTCAGGGGATTCCCAAGCAGTGCAGAGCACTTGCCAGGGGACCCCAGAATGTCACATCCAACTCCTCAGCCTGCACTGGCATTGGGAGAGCGGCGAGTGATGTGTGAATTGTCGAGTCAGTATAAATGTCACAGCCAAAGGTCTTCAGAGTCACAGTGACAAGAGAAGGAAACACTGGTGCCAAGAGTTCTGACACAGGAAAAGTGCTGTCACTGCCACCACCTCCAGCTTGGAGATTTATTGATGGTAACTCGGGATGTGCCATAAACAGGGGTGATATTGAATGAGTCTGACTGTCTCAGGGGCTAAGTTTTACAGCACAAAGTGTGAACTCTCTCTGTCTCACTGAGATCCTCAGGCATTTTCCCAGCAGCTCCCACGATCTCATTAAGTGCTCTGCAGAGAAGGGCTCCAACCCGAGGGAGCCCTCCCTGCACAGCACAGGGGCTGGCAGACAGACAGACAGACAGACAGACGCCTGCCAGGGAAACCAGCGAGCCCTCACTGGGCTCACAGCCCTCTCTCCATGGCTTTGTGAGGAAACCAGAAATTGCCGAAGTTGTGTTCCCAAGTACCAACACACTCCCAGTGTCAGAGGCTCTGACTCAGAGCCAGCAGCTCATGCCCCAGGACAGATCCCCCTGGAGCTGTGCTGTGGCTATGTTGAACCTTGGTGAACCTTTGCTGAGATGCCCTCTCATTTTCCTCAGGTGCTGAGGTCAAACACATGGTTTCCCTCTGGAGTTGTTGGCCACAAAGGGCTGTGCTGCTGTGCGAGGCTTTCCTTCTGCTCCCTGAATGCAGAAAGGGCTGCAGTAGCCTCTTTCTGCTGAAGGGTTCCTACGTTCAGATAATTCATTTTACCCCAGAAGCGGCAAAATCTTCAGCAGAGCCCTGGAGACACTGATTTTATTATTTTGAGTAATTTCTTCCTATCAAAAGTAAAGCAGGTCTGTGGAGACCAAGAGCAGGGCACTCCATGGCCACAAGCCCTGTTCTTCACAGGTTGCCTTCACCAACCCACCCACCTGGGGGAAAATTTTCTAGTCCAGAGAGACCCTGCAGCCTATCTGAGGGAAAAGGTTTATTTTGGTGACATTGCTGAGAAATCTCCCTGATTTTCTCCCCTCCTGCAGTCTGCTCCCAGTTCTCCAAGGGCGTCTACGCCATCTTTGGCTTTTACGAGAGGAGAACCGTCAACATGCTCACGTCCTTCTGCGGGGCCCTCCACGTGTGCTTCATAACCCCGAGCTTCCCCGTGGAAACCTCCAACCAGTTCGTGCTGCAGCTGCGCCCCGAGCTGCAGGATGCCCTGATCAGTGTCATCGAGCACTACAGCTGGCAGAAGTTCGTGTACATCTATGACGCCGACCGCGGTGAGTCGCAGCTCCATGGGAAGGGTTTGCAGCCCCACGTTTTCTCTTCACAGAGAAAAGCAAGGCATAATTCTTCCCCAAAATATTCTTGTCTCATTTGCTGTGCCTGTGTTTGTGCCAAAGTAGAATGCAATGTGGAGGTTGTTTACCCAAAGTGATGGTATTCTGTTTCCTTGGCCTATCAGGCCCAAGTGTGTAGCCCCAAATTTCTCTTCACAGAGCAAAGCAAAGCACAATTCTTCTCAAGAATATTCTTATCTCATTTGCTGTGCCTGTGTTTGTGCAAAAGTAGAATGCCATGTGGAGATTGTTTACCCAAAGTGATGGTGTTCTGTTTCCTTGGCCTATCAGGGCCAAGCGTGTCACCCTGATTTTTTAAGATTTTCTAAGCCTTCTGATATTTACATTCTTGTAACAAACTTTCTCACACACTTTCTGTAAATAACTTATTGTTTTGCTTTCTTTTATGGAGGAGGAGAAATTTGATGGGCTGTTGATTTGTCCAGTGTCATTGGAGAGGTGGCACTTTCGCCCTCCAATCCACTGTCACTTTTGGAAATCTATAAATGTTGGAGTCAGAAATTAAACTTCTCTTTTTTCACCTTGAGAGCAGCAGTGTGTGTGCTGATGTTGTTTTGTGCCCTATAGTGACACAAGTGTGTGTGCATGTGTCAGGACTGTCAGCTGAGAGTCAGAGATTCAGAGCAGTGTGTGCAGAGTTGAGTGCTTGGCAGTTCCAGTTTAGATATAATGTAATATAGAATAGAATAATAGAGTATAATAAAGTAATTAATTAGCCTTCTGATACGATGGAGTCCTCCGTCGTCAGGGCCTACTCAGCACAGCTCTAGGGGTTAAAGATACCAGGCAGATAAAGACACAGGTCTAGAAAGAGTCTTTGTCCCCAGAAGTTGTGGGTTTGGGTCAACCTATGCCTGCCCTGCTGTCTGTTCTCTTCCAAAGACCCCTTTCTGCTGAAGGTGAGCATTGATCTAAAAGAAGCATCAGCCTGACCCAATGTTGTGTGGGTGTGTTCATGGGGTCAGATCCAAGCCCCATCAACACAAGGAAAATACTTGATGTGCAAATGGTTTGGAATTCAAAATGGGGAAATTGTTTCGATTCAATAGGTCCCATATGGAACTGGGCTGTAAAACTCAAGGACACTGAGTCCTGAATTTAGAAACATGAACGAACACATTCTCACATCTCACCTAAGCCCACAACCACGTGTGAAATGTGCGTTTGTGGCAGATAGATTGGAAAATTCCAAATTCCCCTTGTTGGTGCATGTCAGATTTCTATGTAAAAGAACAAAAACCTGTGTGAGGTAATGGAAGATGTTACCTAACTTTCTCAACCACAAACCAAAAAAGGGCTAGAGAGCTCATTGCTCCATGATTCAGTTTTCCCAGCCCTCAGATGCCTTTAAAGCTCCAGGCTTGGAGCTGCAAGCAAAGCAGACTTGTGGAGGATAGGGCAGAGGTAAGGTGATTCACATCTCTGTCCTGGAAGTTTTAATTATCCCCTGAAGGGACAGGATGGGCTTTAGAGACAGGAGAAGGTATGAAAGCATCCCACCTGCTTTCTGCTGTCATGAGGCATGGACACACAGAATATTCCAAAAGCACAGGGTTGTTCAGGGTTGTCCAGCATGATTCCAGAGAACTGCTATGTGCATCTCCTCTAGAAAGCTGTGAATGTAATTTAAGCAACATAATTCTAAAAGTAATGGTCTCCTGACGAGATGCTGCTGCGAGAGAAGCATGCTGAGTGTGACAGTGTGCTGTGATTGATGAGGGTGTCCCTAACCCTAGGAGCACACAGCCTAAACAGATCAAAGATGAGAAGGAAATCAAGTCATTGAGAGAGAAATCAAGTTATTTGGGGAACAGGAAGACGGGGATTAGAGTTCTTATCTGAATCCCACAGCAGGGCCTGATCAACGAGACTGATCTGCCAATTACAAAGGAAAATCAGACCTGGAGTCGTCTGTGCTAGGCCAGAAAAAGCAGGAGTCATTAATTCTAGCCCAGATGGGGTTGGATCAGATCTAGACTGTTAGCTGCTCTCTGTAGCTCTGCTGCTCTCTCATGACTGTCTCCAGCCCGGCTTGAGGCAGCCACACAGGCTGCCAGGAGGATGGAAAGATGCCATTACACAACTAAAACCTGGCTCTCCCCCTTCTCTTCCCACCCCAGGGCTGTCAGTCCTGCAGAAAGTGCTGGACACTGCAGCTGAGAAGAACTGGCAGGTGACAGCTGTCAACATCCTGACAACAACAGAGGAGGGCTACAGGATGCTCTTCCAGGAGCTGGAGAAGAAGAAGGAGAGGCTGGTGGTGGTGGACTGCGAGACTGAGAGGCTGCACATCATCCTTAATAAGGTTGTGTTGGTGTGAGCCTTCTGGGGGAGGATCTTGCATGCAGGGAAGAGTTGTTTTTCCTTGGAGTTCTCCCCATTTTCGCCTGATCCTGGTCTCCTTGTGGCTCTCATTGAAGTTGGGGTGTGTGCCTGCAGCTGCTGGGCTCGCAGGCATTTCTCTGCTGTGTTACTGGGGAAACAGTAAAGCTGCAGGAATGCTACAAGCTCTCATGTATTCATGCTGATTGAGCTCCACTCTCCATGCTCCCTCCTTGTTTGACTCCTTTGCTGAACCCTTTACACCCCCTTGCTCCCCAGTGAGTTTGCTTTGTGCCAATTCCTCCAAGCAGCGTGCACAAGATGTGGCACCTCCTGATTCTGCAGAGTCTTTCTCCAGTTTCTGAGTTAAGCTGGAGGTGTGGATTGGCACTGCCAGATTCCTGGTCCCCCAGCCTCCACGTGCTGGACCAGATTCTCACACAAAAGGATTATGGTACATTTGTCCTGAATATGGATTTCTGTGACAGGAGACAAATACAAGCCCAGGGGCGGGTTGAGTCCACACTTCAACTCCAGCCACAAGACCTTTCCCTCTCACACCTACAACCCGACCCAACTGGAAGGGTTTGGAAAGAGCAATTTCCACTGCTTTACTCATCATAATCAGCTCACCCTTACCTCATGCTTCCCAGGTCTCCCTACCTAAGGTACCTTTCATCTCTGTCTCACACTTCAGCTGCTCCCTGTGTGGGACAGGGACTGACATTTCACCAGATGCTCAGGGATGAGCACAGTCCGTCCTTGCTGGATGTCTCTGGGTGCTCCTCTGTTATGTGGAATAACAAAGCTGAGAGCAGGTTGTAACCTCAGAGCCAAGGTCACATTCATGAAAGAGAAAACAGGTTATTCCAGAGGGTAAAATCTTCTCTCTGGAAGATTCTGAATTCTTGTCCAGAATTTTGGACAAGACCTAGGCAGTGAATTTGGCTTTTCTTCAGAGTATATCAAATTTTTAGGATTAATAGTGTCAGGCTTTTAAGCCTGTTTTGTCTAAAATAATGTTAAGTTGTATAGTAAATTATTACCTAGTCTTCTTGATATGAGCAGGAAAATAAGGCTTTCTTTCAAAGTTCTTCACAGAACTGGAGAAAGTGTTAAACCTAGGTATAGGAAAAGCTATTTGTAAGAGCACTAAAAATCCAGATACTGTGATTATTTGTTTTGCAATACTATAAAAAATATCAGTTCCCAGGGAGAAGAGGTACAAAGCTGTGTTTTACTACAAAAATTACAGAGCAATTCCAGCAGACATCTGTGCCTGGGAGGTAACACTCCAGTGAAGGATGGGGCTGTGAACAACTTTTTCAGATGTGTGTAGTCCATTCTCATCCTTTTAAACATTCTTGTTCCAAGTCCACCAGGATTTCTGAGAGCAGAGGTAGTTGTCCCAGTGTGAGAAAGTGAAAGGTTTTTCGTAGTATACAGATGACTGGAGGGATTCAAAGACAGCATTCAGCTCATTATCATGTGAAATTCAGCTGGGACTGTAACTTGGGCTCTAACTTGGGCTGCTGGCTGGTCTCTGAGCTCAGCACACCAGCAGCCTCTGTGGGAATGTCACTGTGCTGTTTGCCCTGTCCCTCTGACTGTCTGAGGTACTCCAAAAGCTGCCTCAGCCCCTCGGGGACATTTCAATGCATTTATCTTCTTCCCTGACAAGCCTGTCTCTGTCTCTCAGTGGCAGTGGGTTTGTGATTTGTGCTCCACAGTGAGCAGGACAGCTGGGGATGGCTGTCCAGCACCTGTGCCTCTCTGCTGCTTTTCATTTTCCCTCCATACACAAAACACAAATAACACCAGTGACTCCAGCAAGGCAGGCCTCAGCTGTACAGGAGCCAGTTAAAAATGACCTGGTTTCTCTCTGGGAGATTTCTCTGTGTCGTGTCTCAAGGGTTTGATTTGTCTTTGCTGAGGTAGCTGTCACTTGTGAGCCAGGCCTTGGATCAGGGCAGGCTGTCGTGGAGTTGTGCTGTGTAGCCTTAATGGGATAAGTGCTGGGTGGGTTGTGTTCCATCAAAGCCTTCTATTGTTTCTTCCTTGTCTCTCATTAAAATGAGTAACTGGAATTCCTCCTCTGCCAGTGTTTCACTCTGAGAGGATTTCTCTCTAATAGATGTCAAACTCTCCCATTAAGAAGTGGGTAATGAAACCTAGGTGGCCCAAGTGAGCAATCAGCATGCAGCCCAGCACAGCCTCTCAGCACAGTCAGGAGGAGTGATAAATGCTATTATAACCTCAGCTTGCTACTGCTGTCCGGACACATTAGGACTGAGCAAGCGTTTTAAAATAAATTAAGATCACAAATAACTGTGTAAAACACAGGAAACGAGCTTCATAATTCAGGTGGATGGGCTGTAAGATTAACAGCTCAGGCAGAGCTGGATGGCAGCCCTCCTCGGTTCATCGGCTCTGACACCTCATAAAATAACAAAGGAGAGCTGGGGCTGGAGGAGCCAGTGCCAGCTATTGTTGACACTGGAGAAAAGGGGAATTGGATCATAATTCTTAGACATCCCAGTGCACCAGAGATTCTCCTTCCTCCTGCAAGGTCTGGGACTTGCTGCAAAGGTCAGTCTCAGCTGATGGATGGAAAGGGATGAGTTTGGTCTGGTTTTGCTTCTTAGATCAGGCCATGGAAGATACTCAGAAAACCACCCATAATGAAATGTATATCTTCATAGCTTTAGGTAGACAGAGGGTTTTTCTGAGAGCTCCAGACACCTCAGCAGAAGCCACACTGAGGGATCCTGTGCAGGCAAGCTGGTGGAGCTGGCATTAACTGTGTAAGAAACTGTTTCTAAATGAAACTTTCATTGGAGTTAATTGCCACCCCCACGTTAATGCTGAGAACCAGATGAGTTTTATTATGCATACAAGAGCACTTCATCAGAGAAGGACTAAGGCAGACGAACCAGTTGCACAGAGCAAGTGTCAGCTCATTTATTATCCATTTGGAAATCCCTAAATGACTGCTCATGATAATCTGGGAGTGCTGTCCCATGGGGAGGATCAGTCTCTGCCCTCATCTGACACTTCTCAAGTACCCGCTGCCAGCCTGGTACCAGATCCTGGGTACACTGATTTCTGGCTGCATCTGCAGTGGTTTTAGGATCATTCTGGCTCTGAGGATCTTTCTGTCCTCACTGCAGTTTGTGCAGATTTTGCCTGTGCCTGTTGGCAATGCAGGCAGCAATTCAGAATCAGTTCATATGACAATGGAAATAAGAGGTAGTGTTGCCAGCCAAGAAACCTAATGGAAACAGCAGAGTTCTCTCAGAAACTGGCAAATATTGTGTTTGTACAGGCTTTGAAGGCATTTGGGCCTTTTTTTCCACTTTCTTCTTTCTGTTTGTAGAGTGGCTCAATTGCAGATGGTATCTGACTCTAGTAAACTAGTAAGAATTTAACAGTGCTGCTGGAAATCAATAGAGAGGAATTTCAATGAAAAAACGGAGTCAGCAAAAATAATGAAGACTTTTAAGTGTATTTTTTCTGTACTCTTTTTAAATCAAGGGAGAAAAATACACACACCATTGGATCAGTGCCTCTGTTCCTCCCAGACAAATCTGCAACAGGTAGAAAAGAGAAAAGAAAGGGAAACTTTTGCAGCTAACAGAAAAAAATCAGTTGTTACTGATTGGTAAGCAATTGTGTTGATAAAAGAAAATAAAAGCCTGAGTCTGCTGTGTCAGGGATAAAGAAATAAGTGGCAAAGCACATGTATTGGGACACCATGCATATGAATCTATAAATTACCTCAATGAACATGCAGGGGAATCCTCTGTGGCTTGCCAAACAGCTTCATTCTGGAGGTATAGTTTGAAACTCCACTGATGCACAAAAACTTACCCATAACCTAAATTTCCAGCCATCTCTCCCAAGCAGGTGTTGGCAGCAGGGGCTGTAGCTTGGAGGATGTGCAGGATTGCTCTCTAGTCTTGCTTAATGTTTCAGTTGCTTTCATAGGACACAGGGACTCCAAATCCCCATTTGTTCCTTTGGTGTCTGAAATACAAATCTTGTTGAGGCTTTATCTTCCTCCCTGAGCCTTTAGGAAACAGGTTGGTTTGGTTGTTTGCTCTCCCTTCCTGTACAGCGTTCCTGGGGATCTTGTCCTGTCTAATTTCAGATTTGCTGCTCAGGCATCATGTGTCAAAGCTCTGGCCATCCTCTAATAAGATTGGGAACTTTTCTTTTGCCATGTCTTCCTGCTCACAGCTGAGGAGTCTCAGCAGGGAAAAATAAGAGTGAGAAAGGGCAGGTAACTGATATTCTTCTTCCTTAGCTGATCTCTGCTAATTATCCTTGGTTTTTATCTTGCAGATCATCTCACTTGAAAAAAATGGCAACGGGTACCACTACATTCTGGCAAATATGGTGAGTTACCCTAATTGGTGGGAGTTTTTCTATCTCAGTTTTGTAAAGCACTATATTTATAATTACTGTGCTGTACACTCTTTTTCTCATCCACCTTCTAGGTAAAAAAGTACCAAAGTCTTTTGCTGTGCTCTTCTTGTGGAGTTTTCTCTCTTGATCCAGCAAGATTATCTGCAGGGTATCCCCAGGTGTGCTGGGGTTGTGTAGTGGTTTGACCTTGGCTGGATGACAGATGTAGACCAAAGTAATTTTATCACTCCCCCCTTGGTGCTAAATGAAATCTGACTGTCATGGCTCTAGGGAGAGAATTGAATGCAAAGATTTCTTTGAGGAAAGGATTCTCCCTTTACTGCAGGGATGTGCTGCCTGAGGACAGGGCAGCGCTGGGCAGGGGCAGGACCATCTTCCTGGAGCAAGTCTCACAGGAGGATGGAAAATTTCTTTGCCTAGGGAGATTAGGGGAGAGGTAAGAGAGAGAAACTGAGGTTTTCCACAGCAGAGCTCCTACCCTCTCCTCCCCAAATGTGTCCATCTATCCAGGAGGATGCACTGCAGAGGCTGGGATGCTGCTGGCACTCTGGGGCTGATGCTGCCTCCTGGGCCTGTGGGGTGAGCCATGTGCAGGCTCTGGACCTGTTCTTTCAGCACAGAGCAGCATCTGGGAGGCAGCACGTCAGCCCTGGGGTAATTAAACTTTAAACTGCCAATTAGTCAAGCAGTTGCTGCCCTTCTCCTTTTCTCAGTCCCAAGATAACTCTGTAATTTACCAGGCAAAAATGGCCACATCATTACCCTGCAGTGCCCTGTACTGACCCTGCACCCTGTGCTGGCTGCCTACCGTGTAATTACAGAGATTAAAATGTTACCTTGTGCAGGGGGAGACATGCAAAACTACAGAGCAGCCAATAACTTCAGCTGCTAATTTAAAAAAAAATTATTATTTGCCATAACCTAGGTCCTGGATGTTTATGAAAGTCCCTTCATTAAAGTTAAGCAGGAAAGTGAGCTGGAGTCACTGGAGTGAGCATGTCTGTGCAATTTTAAGTACACCCACACAGGAGGCTGAATGACAATATCACCTCTTTCCCCTGCACAGTTTCATAAGGATAAATGCATGAAAGGCACGAGGTGAACTGAACTAACACTCAGGTGGAGGAGATTTGAAGGACATTTCTCAGCATACCACTCTCCCTCACCTTCACCCAGAGAAAAGTACACTTGTCCCATCTTTAATGTGTTTTCTCAGCCTTTGCACAAATGCTGAGAGGACAGAGCTGGCTGGGAGAGGTTGCATACTCAGCCAATAGGGTTTATAAATAATTAACTTGGAGCAAAAATCTTTTCATTTCTTCAGGCCCTCTGCAGGGACATTCTGCCTCCACTGCAGCTCAGTGGAGGGGACTTCAGGTCCCACAGTGTCTCACAGGATCACCAGAATTCACTGGTGTGCTCTCCAAGCAGCTTGGATTCTGGGGAGAAGGAGCAGAGTGAAAGGAATTGAAGATTTACCTTTGGTCTTTCCTGCTCCTTAAAACCCAGCCTCACACAAGAGCCAAAAGTCAGAGAGGAGAATACTTTAAAAAGAGAAAAAAAAGTAGGGGAAAATCAGACAACATGGGAAAACTATTTTAAAAAAATCCTGGCACCTGTCAAGCTTAAGAAGGTCTTTTCCAGGGCAGATTAACCTGGGCAGGTTCAGACACCAGAAGCCAAATCAGGTCCTGTTATGTGCTGCACCCACACGAGAGCTACTGGATGATGGGTTCAGCAAGGAGAATGGCAAAAAGGCCCTAAGATCCCATGTTTCTGAGACCACAGGGCAGCAAGGCAGGACAGCAAGCCTCCCTCAGTGGGGATGGCCAGGGATTTTATAAGAGATTGTCAGAAGCTGGCCTCTGGCAGGGTTAAACCCTGGTGCGAACGCTCTGATCCAAGAGATCACAGCAGGTTTTACCCTCTTCTGAGGACACCTCATGGCTGGATTAGAGCCTTCAGAGGGTGTAGCGTGCTGTAATTTATTCCCACTGACTCACACTCATAGTGGTAGACCTCAAACAGCCCCCATTTTCCCCTGCAGACATGTCCCAGGATGACAGGGCGTGCGTTGCCCACGCACACTCGCGTACCCTCGTGCGCGCCCGCGTGCTGGAGAGCAGCCCTGCTTGGGGAACTGCCTCCCTCTGGAGCACTGAGTCCTCAGAGAATACAGTAAGAGACAAAATCTGGAAGTGTTGGGTTTCCAAATGAGTTATTTTTCATGCCCTGTGCTGGCTGAGGCAGTCCTGAGTTTAGAATTCTCACCCTGTGTGAAGATCAGGTCAAGGGAATCCTCAGCCCGTTCATAGCCACCAAGTCTCCTGCACTTGCTGGAGCAAGGGGAGGAATTTCCAACCCCTGCCTTTTGCCTGACCTACTTGGGCATGGAAAAATGGGGACACAGTTATGGAAGTGACACATTGAAAGCAAATATTGGGAAACACTTCTGGGTAACCCCACTTAAATTCCTTTTTTTAGCTTGTTCAGAGCTATACAGAGCCAAGAAACCCAAGCAGCATCACACCACTGCCCAGTCGCAGCAGCTTCAAACTGATGTTCCATCAGGAATGCAAAATGAGCTTGCAAGGCAATGCACAGGCTGAATAAGGTCTAAAAAAATCATCCATAGGCACAGTTTGGAATGGAGGAATTCCCTATCTGTCCACAGCCACTCCATGGGCAGCCACTGCCTTGCATTAGCCTTGCTGTGTGTTTGCCCAGCAGTTGCTCTGGGTGAGCTGTAGTGAAGTGCTGAGCAGAATTTGACAGCAGCAAGTGAAAGCTGGTATTTCCTAGCAGGAGCAGCATTCTTTTTCAGTGAAATTGCTGTTGCCAAGGTGAGACAATAATATTTCTGTGTTCACAAACAAAATGAAACCATTCTGCACCCTAGGCCATGGGCAAACATCCTTCTCTGAATGTGCTACACCTGCTAAAGACACGACTTCTCTTGTCTCCCCAGCCCTGCCCATCCCATGAAGGTCTGACTGCAACATCCCTGCCAGGGGAAGGGTTTCTGTGAGCATCCCTCCCTGTCCTCGAGCCAAATTTGGCACTCTTCATGGTTTTTAAAAACTGATGAAATCCTGGTCTTTAACCAGTACCCATCAGTGAGCTTTTACCAGAGCAAACCTGGGTATTTGTCAGGTACACTGGCAGCTTGCAGTCATCTCTCTCTTTCTCTTTCCCCCTCTGGAACTCAAAGAGATTTGGCAACTTTTAAAAGTGTTTGTTTCTGTGAGTCTCCCTTTTCTAAGCTTTGTTCTCAGCCTTTGAGATCATCAGTTGTAGCAACCACAAAGAGGAAAAAAAAATACAGTCAAAAATACCAGAGGAACAAGCTTAGAAACTTCTGGGATTCCTTTCTTTTGATGTTCAGGCTTTTTGCCCATAACCTTGGCTTTGTGTATCTGTTTGTCCTATGCCATGGATGTGAGCTGACTACCGTCAGGAGTGGGAGAGCATCAGCTTGGGCAGAGAAAAATCTTTGTCATTAAATGAGGGACATTCATGTGGCCTGTCTTTAAAAGAAAAGTATGAAAGACAGCTGCCACATCCAGTGTTTCAGCCTCTTTTTCTTTCCTGGTGCATTAGACTGAGTTGTTCTTTTAGCAAGGGCTCTTTTTTTGAAGATGAATAGATAAGTGTACAAGATTGCTGACGGCAGGTGTAGCAGGGAAAAGTAAAGATAAAACCAGTGTTGATTAGCAAAGATAAGCACTTTTTCCTGTGCCATTCTACATCAGCCTGTGTCAGCACTGAGTTAGGCCATGGACAGTTTCCCTTTGCTGGCAGTTGTGGGGCTGGTGGATGTTACCAGTGATGCCTTAGGAAACGTAGAAATAAAACAGCACACATTTGAGAAAATATTAGTATAGGAGGTAATATAAAGGTTGGTCTTTATTGGAGACCTCCATAGGCAGATATGAAAAAATGTTCACAGAATGCCCAGCACCCCATGGGGTGAATGCAGTGTTGTAAGATTAGCAAATTAACATAACTTACAAAAATCACCAATTAGGAGCACAAGAGGTGATGAAATTTCCCACAGTTCAACCACCTCTAAATCTTCTCCCCTCAGATGGAAACTAAACTTTGTTTATAAAAATGTGTCTTGAAGAGCTGTTTTTTAACCTTGCTTTCCAGAAAGAACCAAGATGGGATTGGGGTCTTGGAATATGTTTTGTCTTTCTGCCTAGGGAAAAGGTAGGGAAAAATACTGGGAAAACTAGCCACAGATACAATAGGCCACAGAGCTACAAATATGTGTGTAAAAAAATAGAGAACATATTTTCAAAAAAAGCAGAAATCATTCTGCATCACCATTTCCCCAGCACAGCAGCTTTGCCAGCAGAGTGGCTCCTGCAGGAGTCAGACAAGATGTGCTGGGTTTATCCAGGTCCCCTCTGGGTTGGATGGGCAGCTTTGACTTTTTTTTCGCCTAGAAAACAGAAGGAACTTCTGTAACACCAGGGCTGAGACTCAGCAATGTGAGACCAGCACTGGGTGCAGAAAGGGAAGAGGAACCCTCCCAAATTTGCCATCCACAGGCAGAGAGCATCTCCCCTGAAGCAGGGCAGGACACCCACACCTGTGGCTGTGTGGGGAGGGTTGTGGTGCCCAGCAAGGTCTGTACCTGCCCCATCAGTGACACCTGGCACTGCCCCAGCACAGTGTGAGCTGTGCCACTGGCAGTGTGTCCATGACTCCAGTCCCTGCTTGCCTGGAGATAAAATGTTGTAGTTCTCTCTCCCATGAGTTTGAAATCTGCCCTGTTTATCTGAGTCCCCTGCCCCCTGAAGTGCTGCTGGCTGGTGGGCAGCAATGCTCAGGTGCGAATGCCTCACTGGTTTGAAACTCTGTTCTCTGGAGTTTCCAGAAGGATGTGTACAGCATCTCCTTCTCATCTTGGCAAGATCTCAAGATGCAAAATTTATATACTTCTATTGGAAAAAAAGTGTCCC